AAATCGGTTTGTCCACGATCTCAAAGACAGCAGCAAAAAAAAAAAACTTAAAATGCGACGCACCTTTCTTGACCGCCAAGAACAGGAAGATGGCGTTAATGAAGAAGGTCACCGCATTTTCCATGAACAAGCCGTAGTTGATGGTCACAACTCCGTCTTTCACGAGCTGGAGGCGAAGTTACCGTCAGCAAGACAGTTACCCAACGAGGACAAATGCTTTCATTTTGTTATCAGGTACCTTGTTTCCAAGTCTCCCCAAGTCTCACTTGAGCAACTAGTGGCAGTTGTTGGGCACCATACGACCCAGTAATAGTTGGCGAGGCTCCGGTCTGTTGTACAAATTGGTATCAGTACATTCTATCATTATTAGAAACGCAGCCTCTTACCAGGTGCAAGCCTAACGATCGGTGACAAAATGCTCACTGACAAGAAACGGGTGTTGAGCGACTGAAACATCTTTAAGTTGGTCCTCATAAAGGTCCTACCGGTGACAAGACTGATAATTGGGGACATGACATCCACGATCAAGGAGTCGAGGATGCCGAGAAGGATGAGCCCAAGATGAGACCCACCGCCATGTCGATCATGTTCCCCTGCTGGATAAAGTCCTGGAAGTCGGTGAGAAGCGCCCGGGACGTCAGAAGCTCGCGATTTGCGAATTCTTGCATTCGATTGAGCAGCGACGCGCTTTCCGGAGGAGGGGGCGGCGGAGCGAACGGATTCCAACTTCTAAGGGTCGGCCATGGGCGACAGAGCACACTTGATGCGCTAGGCACCATGGCGGGGAAATATGAGACTGAGAGGCCTTCCTTTCATCACCTCACTGCTGTCCTCTCCTAGAAGGTCGATCGAGGGATGGGAGAGAAGAGTGATAACAGTACCCACCTTGAAGGCGTCGAAGTCGAGGAATTATCTCCTACAGTCCCCCTCTTCGCAATTGCGTACGCAGATCGAATAGAAAGCTACCATACCACACAATATCGCCTTGAGAGCGTCCTGGAAGCAATCTAGACCCCAGTACCCGCAGATATGTAGCTGATGCAGTCGCAGTCTCTCCCACTAGTAGTACGACAATCTTCTCAGCAACAAATTTTAACCAGGCCCTCGTCTTTAGTGGCTAGAGACACCGACACTGTCTGACTGTAAACATCCTGTACGAATGCGTTTTCCTTGTGTGCTTACTCATGGACGGACACCCCAAAAACGTCATTTCCAGAAGTAAAAAAAAAGAAAAAACTGGATCGCGATCTTAACGCCAAAAGTCGCGAAATCTTTGATTGCCCAACGAATGGACCCCATTGGCGTGTCATTGCAGATTTTGACACGCATCAGATCCAAGCATGCCACCATCAAGAGGTTTTATTTTCTGGTTAATAGCCTCGTTGCTGTGTCTTTGCCACTTCCTCGCCCACGCTCAACAAGTTGGTACATCTTGCTCCCAACCTCGAATTCGCAAAGCCATGGGATGCCTATACCGATGCAGAGAAGGCGCTCTACATCGAGGCTGTTGGTGTAGCAATGGATCGAGGATTCCACCAAAAGTTTGTGCAGATTCACACTGAGCAACTCACGGGTCTTGAGGCGCATCAGACGTGCGTCTTCATCTACTGGCACCGAATGTTGCTGCTCGGCTACGAGAATATGCTGCGCAGTCTAAACAGCTCGTTTGAATGCGTTACGTTGCCCTACTGGGATCACCTCTCGGCGTCGGCCCGTCAAGCTAGCAACAATTGTGCCAGTGTTGAAGGATGTTCGCCTATCATCACGGACTTTGGTGGGACGACCACCGGACTGAGCAAAACTCTGTCGGTCTACGGAACGAACATCGCCTACTCGTCCAGGACAATCTGTGTGAATCAAGGCCTCCCCTATCGCTTCTGTGGGAACAATACGGGCTGCGCACACTGCATTATCCGAACGCGTAGTAAATACCTGAGCGCTACCACGTATCCGACCGAAGCCTCCTTTGGCTCCGTTTTTCAGCAAGTGTTCACGTACAGCGACTCGGGAAACTTTACCTTGGCCGTCGAGCGAGGCGTCCACAGTACGTAGCTCTT